TATATATGGAGAGAGAGATACAGTAGATATATATTTTTTGTATCCTTTTATACTATGCATAACAAGTGTTTCTGATTTCTACTGTAAGGAGAAACCATTTTCAAATTGTTGTTCAAGTTGAATTGCCTACATTTACTATAAATCAGAAATACTAACACTGTGTCAGGTTTGCTCGGCCGCTCTGGCCTCCCTCACCTTCCCTATTGTCTCTTGCCCATTAACACTAATCACGTTCACCTGTTCCTCACTCCCTTATCACCAGCTGCACTAGATTAGGTTGCTCACTATATTACCCGGTTTCACTCCTCAGTCACTCCCCAGTTCCTTCTAGTCTCTAGGCCATTTTTTCTCCGTGCTCTTTCGTTATTTGTATGTATTTATCCCCTAGCCAGCTACTGTTTTGTGTTCCCCCCATGGACTGTCCCTCTGATGACGACTTATCTTAGCACTTATCTTAGCACCGGAGCAGGACTGGGATGACTTGCATAGCAGAGCCTCAGTTTCCTCCCGGAAACTGACGGTATGGGGCTGGTGCACTGTAAAGGGCAAGAGAAGGTGCTGCTTCTGCTGCGGTTCTGCTGCACCCTGGGCGTCGTACATGTAGAGCTTGGACTGCGGATTCTGGAGGTGCAGTCATCGGAGCTGTTGTCGCTACTGCCCCCCTCCTCTCCACAACTAGAGAAGTCTCTTTTTACTCATCACTGTACATAATAAATCACTGCTTTCATCGAAGTCTGCTACCGGGGTCCGCCTCTTTCTCGTTCGCTCACTGACTGGTGCGAACGGCGCATAACACACTGTCTCAATCTAGAATGTTATTTTCTACAATCAAACAATACTGTCTTCAAAGTTAGAAAAAAAAATACTGGACTATTGCTATAACAGATGCAATAAAAGCACTGTATTGTCCGTGTTAAATCCCTTATTCTCTTTTTCTCCTACGTGCTGGACGTGGACTAATCATCAGCACCTGCTCATCATCCAGGCCAGTTTAGTTTTACTGCCAGTCACTGAGGGCAAGAGCTATTTCTGACATGGGGGGTTTCTGCTACAGAAGGACACACAGGGAGCAGCTCAGACTTGCCCCATTGGCGCACACACTGCAAAAATATTGACTGGAAGATAAATAAGGCCTAGACTGTGATCTCAATGAGACTCCGTGAATAAGCAAAAATGAGATTTAACTGGAGCGAACGTTTCTTTACAAAACCAAAATTATACTTACCATTGTAGCGTCTAAACAGAACGTCCGCTGAAAGCCGAAGAACTGCTACTGGCCTTGGATTCTCTGCAGGATCTCACTGCGGCCGTCAATGTGGTCCGAGTGAGCAAGTGCTGCCGGTTGGACGAGGAGCTAACAGGCTATACACTGCTGCTAACCACACCCACCTGGCTCTGTGACGGGAGCGCGGACAGGGAACGCGCAGGCCTCTTTGTTATTGTGGATTTCAGAGACATTTAGGCCACGACTTTCATTTTATAAATTTAAGCAGATTCATGTTCAACACAGAGACGTTTTGAGTGTCAGTCCTTGTATTAGAATAGTAGGTTTAATGGCTAAGCACTCAACCAAACTCAGCTCAGCTTTGTACTGAATCAAAACATTATTCAAAATTACTTGTAGAACACAGTGCACATACTGTAAATGTGCAGGCTAGTTCACACATAGTCAAGGGCAATATGGAGGCAATGTATGGCAGAAGAAAGATCATTCCATAGTTTTGGGAGAGCTACCATGAAAATTGAGTTTAGTACTAAAATAAAAAATATTAAAACAGCAAATTGGTTATTACTAAAACAGTTCCTCCTTGACTGAAGTCCAAAAACAAATCGTAATCAATATTGTGTTTTTCACATCTTTCCAGTATTACTTTAATTCTCCAAATTCATCATCCCACACACTGTATTAGTTATTTATAGGCAGCAGAATATCTCAGTTTTCCTACAGGAGGATGGGCATTTTGCTGCATGTACTGTACATAAAAGTGTTGAGCTATTGCTTTGTCACTGACTGTTGCAACCCTGTTGCAATGCTTTCTGCATGCAGTTTTATATTTCAGCCACTAGAGTCCAGTCCAGCTTGTGGAGACATTTATACTCCCTGAACTGAGGGGGGGAGGGGGAGAGCAGATTTCCAGGGCTGAGCAGAAAATTTGGCTACACACCTACCAAAATGTACACTGTAAAGGTGGAAATTGTGTGGCTTATGTGTCCTTTCCTTCCTTCACAAAGTAAGTAGTTCTGCTTAATTGCATACCAAGCTTCAGTACAGGGGTTTGCCTGAAGATAATTGGAAATTAGACGTATTTAGTTGATGGATTTCTGCTCACTTTTTCACATATTACATGAATTGTGCATGAACAAGTTTTTCATCCTCAGATTGTGTTTACACTAACTCGGTTGCAATAAATCAACATTCATGTTTAATATTGTGCATGTCCCCTTTTAAACAAACCAAAGCAGCTAAATGACTACATCTGCGCTTGTTCTATCTTCTACAAAAATCTTAGGGCTGTTTTAAGATG